CGATCACAGCCAGAATATCTCCATCCTTATCCCAGTCCATGCCCACGCAGCGTCTAATGGGGAAAAGGTAAGGAAAGGACAGAGGAGGTGAACTTTGAACTATATGGACCATAAAGTGTTAAACGGCTACACATCGATGAGCTCAAGACCTAAACCACAGACCTAAAGATATGTATTCTCACACTTACCCTGGGAGAGATAGTTCCGTCCATTTGTTTCCATGTCGATCAAATATCTTCACTGAGTTATCCTGTCTGGTTACAAGCACATTTTTCAATTAATGTCAGTTTTGAGGACTTTGTCGTCCATCGTCTCGGGTTACTCACCCTGCAACAGCGATGTAGTTACCAAGGCTTTTCTGCCACTTGTACAGCAGGTTAGAACCCGCCCAGGCTTGGTCAGCAAGGACGAAAACACTCTGTGGACACCAAGATTCTTTTTGAAAACCTTAACTATGCATTTTCTTTCATCTTTTTTGTTTGAGGACAACAATTAATGTATTTCCGAATTGCCTAACTATGTGTGAGTGTGAGTGTGTGGTAGAATAATTAAATCTTCAAATACGGTGTCAAGTGAATTTTTAAGAGGTTTTGGATCCAGCACCTTCTGAGTTTTTGGGAGGATTAACACACCCTGAAGCAAACATTTTGACAATTTTTCTCATCAACATTTAGAAGCCCTGGCTAAGAGCTGAGCTCATTACTGAGATGGTAAATAACCAGGCAACGATGGGCAGGTTGTGAAGGACCTAATACAGTTGTGAAGTGTTTTTGTTGTACATCCACAAAGCTGCATCCCACAGAGCCTTAAACAACCAGAAATACATTCAATTAAACCAGTTTTTACTCATCTAGGTCTATAGTGGCGATGTTCTGTTATATGTTGGTCACATATAAGTTAGAGGCTAAACAAACTGAAAATCATTTGATTCAATATTAATGAACAGATTATACTTTTTATTGCATTTACAAGAATTTGCATTTGTTCGTACCTTAAAGACAACAAACGGGAATAAACCAGGAAAATAATTCAATAAATGAATAAGATGGCTAGCAGCCAAAATCAGAGCTGTTGCTTAACAAACGTAACTTTAGCTTAAACGATAGCTAAGAGCTGCATACAATTAGCTGGTAAATAGCTTGCTCGCAGAAGAAGGTAAACGTAACTTTTAATTAGTAAAACAACCAAAACAACCGGGTTTTTAGTACTTTCTTTTTCTGGCACCAACCTTCATAGTGGCGGGGTTTATCGCTTATTATTTGTATGGATTTCTTCTTTTCAAAACATCTTCGACATAAACGTTGTGTGTGTGTTTCCCATGATGCATCACTTTGAAGCGTCTGCTACGGCGATGTCATAGCAACAACGGGTAGCCAATGAGGAGCCTCCAATACAGGAGCCGAAGCAACAGGTCCTTGATTAATCTTTGATAAAATGTTCAAAAACATGGATGCTTAGTACTGTCGCTGGTGTCTTGGCACTTAGAGACAAATATAAATGTTGTATTCGGATAAATTACGGTGTATTTCTGTTGTACGTTATTGATGTTATAATTACACTAAAAAGGTGTCTTTTTGACATTGGGAGCAATGGGTGTTTAGCTTGCATTGCGGAAGAATATACATTATAAAGTTCGTTTTCATAAACCATTAACATACAAGACCAGGGATGCAATCTTCAAAATAAAGAAATACACAAATAAACTGCAACAAATATGGGTAGATTAAGTAAATTTTAAACACCTGAAGCATTTTCAATTATATAAAGAATAACAATAACTGTGTCCAATATACTTATTAGTACCAAAGGTTTTTTGTTTGTTTAATGTATTTTTCATGTTTACTTTTGATTTTTTTTAAGCTGCTCAAATATTTGTTAGCAGACTGGGAGAAGAAGAGAAAGAAATTCTAATGGAGAGGTTGAAATGAAGAAAAACTGGACGACTTGGGGCAGTAAAGGAAGAAAGTGAAAGAGAACATCTGGAAAATATTTTTTCTGAACATGATGAGTTGATTTAAAAAAATTGTACTTCACCATCAGTCCAACATTGTGCTGAAATGTCAGAAGTGTACTTCCAGCACTAAGCCTGAGGGTGGCAGCTTTGGACAGCTGTGTAGAATTGAATCTGTCAGTCTCTGTAACATCTGCCTCACTCTTTTACCCTGAAAGTGTTCCACAGAGCTTTTTGTCAGTTAGCAAATACTACTTTTTTTTTTTTTCTACTGTGGAGTTCTGGCTGACCGCTGGCCTATACATACCGGTGTTCATCCAAAACAACACGAGGTCAACTTGTGCTTATAAATTGGTTCCTGGCCAAAAACACGCTGCAATGGTACTTTCCTGTGGGTGATGGATGAATGACAGCTCCTTTATCCTGTGCAATTTGCCGAACTGTGAGGAAATACCAGCTGTGACACAAATACTCTTTGGTGTGCTCTGGCGTGCCCAAGCTGAATACACCCTGCTGACTCAGATCTCATTAAGATGCACAGAAGCGAGCAGCTGAATGCTTTTCAAGCAAAATAATAAAAATAGATCAGTGAAAAAGTTTTGGGGGAGAAAGAAAAGAACTCATTGAAATATGAATGCAGCACAGTGGGGTTTTTTGCAGGCAAGACAATAAAACCCAAAGGAGTAGGGCTTTTTTGGTTTGTGGCAGTCTATTTTAAACAAAAAAGTAAAAGTGGCTCAACGCACTTATCTTTCTTTTCATCCTATGAATCCTCAAACATGATTAATTCATCTGTGGCCAATATACTGTTCAGAGGTTGCTTAACCTCATGTTTCTGCCGCTGCAGAGATAATTAGGTTATAATTAGTTGCATATCTGCTCATTGATCTTTATTTGTGAGCTGAGAATTCACACAGAACTTTTTTTCATTCCTTTTAAATCATACAGATGTTGGATCTGGCCCGGCTACCATAAAAAATACAGTGCTTTCTGAGACATCTGAGTGTCCAGTAGCTAAAATTCTAAAGATGATGACCATTTCATGCTTAGCCAGGGGCATCCCTGCAGGGTAATCCAAATAAAACCCATGTAGTTGGGCATTAGGACAAAATAAAAAAAGATCAGCTCCTTACTTGGTATTATAATGAGGTAGATTGAACCTCAAAATGCTATTAACGATAATGAAAATTAGTATTTTTTGACATGATAGCCAGCTACAGGTGCGGAAACTTGAAAGAACGATTTTCTGGCTGATGTTATCAGTTTCCAGCACCATTGTGGAAACATTTTGGCCCCCATCATTTTGCAGTATTGCTTCAGGTTATTGAGGCTTTTGAGCATGTATTTATTCATAGCCCTCTAACAGTTCTGCCACACCACATGAATCAGATTTAGATCTGGGCTTTGACTGGACCACAGAAACACCTTGATAATTCTTTGGTTTTTCTTCAAACGATTTGTTGGAAGCAAGTGAAAATGCTGACGGTCATTTACTCAGTACATCTGATTTATACTACCTTACTAACCCTCTTAATTCCCATAGAAAGAGCAAGGGTGGACTTTATAGCTCAATATTTCTTTGTTCTGGCTGCTGTTAAATGAATGAGAACACAATTTGAAATGTCAAAATTGTTTTTTAATCTATGGTCGTGTTGTAGAATGTATCCATTTTGAAGGCATAATTATTTACAATTAATTTGTATATCTCTTAAAGATGAGAAAAAAAGAATGCAAAATCCGCAAATCTCATAAATCATTGTTGTATTCATAATAGAGCATACAAAACAAAGATGTTCAGCAAATGTTGCAATATTTTTTAAGTCCCTGCATTTTTATGTTAGTAAGCATCATTCTGAAATTGCTCTGTAATTTTTGGAAACAATTTTTGCTTACAGCTAAGCCTCTGCCTTTCTTTATGTCTGAGAGACTCTGCTTCTTATATGTGCTCTTTTTCTAAACATTTCTGTTACAGACCTGCCAAAAATCTGTCTAAGTTGTCCCAATATGTTCTGCTGTTTCTAGTATCACTTGACTCTCCATTTTGTTCAATAAAATTGATAAAGGATCTAATTTCCATCTTCCATGTGGTTCTGAACAAAATATTGGTCCATGGAATTAGTAAATTATTTGTATTGTTTATATTGACATTTAGCACAGGATCATAAACATTCTTCACACAGCAAAACTTCATTCTAGACCATCAATTAATCAACTCTCAATCCCTCACAATAGTGACAAACATGTTAATTTGTTGCAACATTTTAAGTTGTGATGATGAGACCTTGTACGTTGAAGCATTTTTTCTAAACCACAAACTGAAACGTGAAAAGCCAAAGGCCAACGTCTCCCTGTCCCCTGAACACAACAGACCCGTTTGTGCGTCTTCATTGACACTGGACGTTGAGCATCAGGGCGCCCGTCTGCCTCCCCCCTTCTTGTTTTCATCAGCCATAATGGACTCAGATCCTGTTAAGGCTACCGGGCAAGGTCTCTGGCATCCTCTCCTATAGCGTCAGCGCGGGCCCGTTCGTCAAAACTACTTATGATTTACAGCTTCTGCCGCAATAAATAACGGAGCGGCTCAGTTGGCCACCGGTCGCTGTAACGGGGTTGAAGAACCCATAAATCGCCAGCATTCCTCCTGCTTTGACACTTGTTTCGGCCGACAGACACCCCGCAGCCACTCTGACAGGAGAAATGCGCACCAGGATGAACATCCAGGCACAGGAGACGCACTCAGAGCATCCCCCAAAACCGCCCAGCAGAGCCGATGGGGAAACACACATGTTTGCAGCGTGATGACATTTATGGTGATTGTGACAAATACGAACAGGCTCCTAAGCAGATAAACGAACACGGGAATAAAACATCTGCACGTTAAGCGCGCGATTATCCGGCGTCGACAGGAAAGACAGAGGCGACTTTTAAATCAGATGTCGACTTTTATTGTAGAAAAGAGCGCTGGGCATCAGAGCATTCTGCGTGTGCGGGGTGGTGGAGGTGTTAACATTCTGCACGGCAGGACGAGGTGCGCAGCTGGGGCACCAACTGTCTTTATTACACCTCTTCATCATCTGAATCCAAGGTACCAAATTAAAAAAAAAAGAAAAAAAAAGAGCAGCAGACAATTGCACATTGTATATTTAGTGGGCATAGTACACAGCGTAATGCAATAACACCACATCCACATTTCTTATTTATCTATGTACACATTATACAATCCACTAAGAACATTATTTGGAATGCGTCCGTTTTAACTGTTAGCCAGCGTCTGGTATAGCAGACACAAACGATGACACGCTTTCTCTGCTGAGATGGAAAGAGAATCACTGTAAATAAGCAGCTTTGATTGGGGAGGACACCAAAAAAAGGATGCATTAAACAGGAGTAAACATCGGCTCGGCCGCAGGGAAATGCTGGCCTCCCCCCACCCCCCGTCTGAGCTTTTTAGATGTCGTGCTGGCGAATTTTGGAGCCTTTTCCAAACATCAGTGTCTCCCGGGACACGTTCGGCATGATGGTGCGTCTTAGAGCAAAAAAACGCAGGAGTGCGCACCCCGTCATGTTTGGATGAAAAGTGCATCCTGTGGGCTCCATTAGAGCTGGATCTGTCGGTTCAGACTAGGGTGCGTGGTTTGGCTCTCACTGTCAGTTTTCCCCACTTAGAAAAAAAGAAGAAGCTGAGATCCAGCTTACATACAAATACACCAAAAGACAATTCAAACGAACAGCTTGAAATTGCCCTGTAACTGCGCACAATTGCAGGTTTCTCGTGGGCCGCAGTTAAGGACACGCGCGTGTGTGTTCCACAGATTTGTGTTCACCGCATGTCTCACACTTGCTTCGTGTATAACAACCTCAAATCCAATAAGGCGTTGAACATAATATCAATCAGAATGCGGGCACCGTCGGAATCAATATTATTAAACTCATGGTCTCATCATAAGGTCTGTTCTTTTTTTGTCTGGGTACCCAATTCTGCTACGAAATGAAACGGTGCACGGATCTGTGTGTGTTCGCGTGAGTGGCGATGAAATGGGAAAACGTGGATGAAGAGAGAGCAGCAGGGAGCTGAGGATGTGGAGAGGGGAACGGAGGTAGGATTCTCATTTGAGATAAAAATATACTTCTGGCAATCTCCAAAGACCCAACACTAGCACACACTAACACACAGGCAGTGATGAAACATATACAAAGGATGAAAATAAGATGGCTGGCAGACAGAAAAAGCCAATCAAGCCCTGATGGGGAAAAAAGAACAGGCCTGTAAATAGCTGACCTTGTGCTCCAGGGGAAACTGAAAACAAAATTTCCCTGCAGGGATTAACACAAACCCACAGAGCCGTTATTTACTACCCAGGCTGTAAACCTATCAACACCGCTTAATGGAGCTCCATTAATAATAATAACAAAACAACAGAAAAAACTGAAATTAATGCATAAAAAAAGGAATGCAAAATGCAAAAAAAAAAAGGTTGGATTGTTCTCTCAATGAACTTGTGAAAGTTCGAAACTTCAGGTTTGAGCTGATGCAACAGAAAAACCATACACTGAAATTTCATGTGTTTCTGACTGAAAAAGATCCTCATAGATCCTCCCAGAACAGCTATTTACGATCTTGTGCTGATTATGTCAAAACTCTTTCTTTTTATTTGTTGGGGGGGGGCAACAGCAAAGCACAGCACAAGTGCACTTGCCAACTGCAGCATAAAAATAACAGGGAATGTGTTAAAATAGCATCAATACGCGCCATCAGATACGGTTAGGAAAGCTGAGAGCATAAACTGATGAGGCGGTCTTGACAATCTCTCTCTGTCTCAGCTATTTGTCAGCAGAAATAGAAGCTGAGTGTGGCCTTGTAGGTTGGTGCCGCATGTGTGTCTGAGACTGAGACCCTACCTGCCGAGAGAAAAAAAAAAAGTACAACAGACAGCTGGTGTGTCAAATTCGGATAAATGCGGCAGATTTCTCTCCAGCGGTTTCCTCCCCGTGACAGAACTTCTCAGGATGTGAAGATTTGTCAGAAACCCGACCCTCAACTTAATGCTAAACTTTCCGTGAACTATTTTTGAGAGTTGTGCATGGGTAAGGATCCGAGAGTAAAACCTGATGAGAGCTCAGGAGCCAGCCTCGTGTTTCTCACTGAAAGGCAGCAGGTTTGCTGGGTGTCTCTTCAGTGTCAGTGATGACAAAGTGTCTCTGAGTGTCGTCCTTTGCGTGTGTTTTCACAGTCTGACGGTCACTACACATGCCCCTGCCCTGCCCAAGCACAGAGGGGCCACCTGGAAGAAAATAGGAAGGAAAAAAAACACACATTACATCACAGCTTGTGCAGAAATCTGAAAATATGAGATTATTTAGTGAAACTAAGCTTTCAGTTTGAAGATTCCTTAGTCTGGAGGTGGTCAAGTCAGACACACGTGAGTTATAGTAAGGATTGAGAGCAAATATGCTTTTGAAAACAATCAAATCATGTGGAAGGCAACTTGTTCAGTCTAGCTTCCGTGTTGAAACGTCCCTGGAAAAAAAGACAAATCCGTGATGCACCAGGTATGTTAACTGCAGCCAGTTTGTTGTTGAGATTAAAAAGAAATTCAGGAGAGGGAAAGCAGTTGTGCCCCTGTTGCAACTAAACGCTGCCACTGAATAGCAAAACATTACTCAGTATCTGCCCTGAAACTTATGAGAATTCTGTTTCCATCAAGGGAAATTCATAATGGATGGGTGGGAAGAGGGATTGTGAATGTATACAGTGTACAGTCTAACCCTCTGTGGTCACTGAGTCAACTGTCTTCCTCCTACTGGTGGGTGTAACAGCCGAACTGTGCAGTTTTCTCCAATGACATCACATGCAGTTTCACATGCTGAACTCGAACTTGAGCCCTTTTCAAAACCAAAAACAAGTCAGACTGGATAATACTGTTTTGTGTTAGCTGGATGTGGACAGGTTTCAGGATCAGTTGGAAAAACTAAAACAGACAGTTCAAAATCACGACAACGAGGATGGATCATTTAGCGATGAAGATCATGTGGAGCTTCAGGAATACCACCAAATGCACTGTAGATCTGTTTTCACCATCTTCAGGTTAAAAAACAACATAAAGAAAACTCAGAGGAACAGGTTATTTTTGGGTGGATGGGATCACTGACTTAACACTTACCTCTAGAAAAAAATCTACAAAAGCCCTTAAACAACTTGTAAAAAGGAGCTGAAACCGGAAACTAAACACAAAGATTCGACATGGAGCTCTACTTAATGGAGATGCTTTGTGTGCCATCCCAGGATTAAGGGACAATGTGATGCAAATCAGGAATGGCATGTGTTACCGTCAACAGTCATATCAAGAGTGAAAGAGGAGAAATGGCTTCAGCTAAAATTGAAAAAAAGAAAGCACACACATCTCCGAGTGCCAAGGCACAGATACATTTCTGTGCAAAACCATCAAGAAAAGAAAAAGAAGACTAACTACTTTTCACAGAGCACCAGGCTAGACGACCTAGCTTTTGGGGAAAGAAAACTTATACTATAACAAGATTCTTTAATACAAATTTAATAGTCTAGATCGCTGTTGTCAAATGCTAATCGTCAAGGTGATGCCCCGCATAGTTGAGATGTTTCCCTACTCCTGACGTCATTTAAATGACTCTCTCAATGGTTTGCTTTAACCAGGGCTCTTTAAAAAGGGAAACATCCAAAACATGCAGCACATTGACACCCCCGAGGACACTGATAAATGCACACACACAAAAACTTCCAACGCAAAGCCTTCCATAATCTGAAAATGCACATGGCTGATAATTCACCAAGATAAGCAGGAATACAAGATCTGTGCAATCTGAAGGAACTTTCAGTGTCTAAAATGATCATACGAATCGGTGTGTTCACTGTGTAATGCAGTAACAAAGTAAAACCTTTAAGGCTGTTGAGAAAAGTGTGCCTTCATCTTTTTGGCTATCCCATGTCATTTGCTGGGATAGCCAAGTAAGATTTTGAGCCGAAAGGAGGAAAAGACGCAGCTCCACCAGAACAGGACAGCCTATGCACCCACTGGGCTGTTTGTCTTTGTATCCGACAACGCGCGCAGGACACCTTAAATACTCTCAACATGCTGCCTCGTATCTCATAGCTCAGTGTATCCCCAGACCCTGTCTACCAGCGTGAACAGATCCCTGTGTATTTGTATCCACCCACCTAAGCCTCTCTTGTTCTCAGCATGGAGCGTGTCAAAAAAGGAAAAAAGAAAAAAAAAATCCAGAAACTTTAGTCAGAAATCCTAGAAGGCCTTGCAGGAGATGGGGTATAAAAGGAAGCAACTTATAACCGTCTGAAAGCTGCCATATGAGAGCGTTCAGCATCTAAACTGTACCCTCCACCTCCTACTGCTGCAGCAGTGGCGGGGACACATTAGCTCGGGGAAAGGACTCATTTGCATAATCGTGCAAACATGCCAAGATACATAGGAGAGGAGCTGGAGGAAGGTCAAGCGTGTGTAACTAACAACTTCATTGGTGTTATCTATGATATCCCTCCTGTGCAACAACACAGACATAATCCTGCTTTAGGCAATGGTAATATATGAGATTATAGCTCATTCAAATGTGTGCACTGTTTACTTGGAGCCTCTTCCCACTGTACCTGTGTCCATTCATTTGTCTGAGGGTCATAAGCTTCCACGGTATTGAGATACACCTGCCCGTCGTATCCGCCCACAGCGTAGAGGCAGTCTCCAAGGAGACAAACACCAACAGCGTCTCTGCTGATGCTCATGGGGGCGACGGCTGTCCACACGTCGGTCTGAGGGTCATACCTGGACATACAGAGCATTGACACGACTCAGTAAGGGGTTAGACAAAATATATAGTGAAATATTATTAGTATTATGGCATTAAAAAAAAAAGTATCATACTGACACAGTAGGTCATTTTGACTGTGTTGGAAATGTTCATTTTTAATGAGACAAAAGTCTTTTCTTGAGGGTGCAAGGGTTAGCAATTACGATCCTCCAATTTATACAGAAACTTGCATTACAAGTTACACCCTTTCCTGTGAGGCGAGAAAGAGGAGTGGATGTTTTGACCCAGTTACCTACTGGGTGAGGGTGGGGGGGGCTCTCTGACCTCAGAATAGCATCTGCAGAGCTGAATCTCCTGGCTTTCTGTCACTACCAGGATAAGATGTCCCTACAGTCACACTTAAGATACTGCAAGATATGAAGACCCGAGAGCGCTCGCTTGCCTAACCCGGTAAAACAATGAGTAATAGGCACAAGAGTAAATGTGCGGCGTGAATTTTAGTTGAACAAATGGATGTGTAACAAGTGTGAGATTTTCTTCTAGTCACAGTCACAGTTAGAGTGTCTGAAGGACTGCATTGTTTCATTTCTTGGCTTCTGAGAAACGTAATACCTACAAAGAGATCTTGAGCAAAAGCTGTATGCAAAAGAAACGCTTGGCAAAAAAGGATTCAAACAGAGGGGCAAACATGATGCTAAGATAAACAAGTTTTAACTATAGTTAATACCTCACACACAAAGCTCTCATCTAATTTTTGGGCCTAAAGTATAAATAATCATTCAGATTTGCTCAAAAGCTTCATTTTTAGTTTAAAAAAAAATCAACCTTTGTAGACTTTTGGAATTTCAGAATTTGTCAGGAAATGGTCCTCTTAAAATCAAATATCCCCATGTGGCTTCATACAGCGAATCTGATTAGAATGTTCAGTCTGGAGAACACAGACACACACACACAACTAAACAGTTGTTTTGGATGATGTATGTGTAGTATATGCTTCTATCTGCAGAATGTACTTTTAACTCAATTTACTTGCTTTTTAAACAAATGTATATTCCATTTGAGGCAAATCTCTACAGAGAGTCTGCTAAATAAAATACCAATTAAATTATTGCATTAAATTATCATTCTGTATATTTATCATATTATTGTATCTAGAAAAAACTTGTGATTCTACAGCAAGTATAGTATAAAATGATGCTCAAAGGAACTAAAACTGCAGATAGAAGAACAGTGGACAGTGAAGATTGAGACATCTTGAACAACAAATATCATATCTATGTGCTCTCTTAAGACCTCTGGTCACCACCCCAAGTTGGTTAATAGTTTCTGATTTCTGTTTTTATGGACCAGTTTTTTTTTATTGTACTTGATCACATTGGAATAATTATTAAGAGTTTTCCCAAAAGTATTTATACTATTGAAATTATTTAGCTACGTTCATGGTTACCCATAGATGTAATTGAGAAATATTTTATATTTTCCCTACCATATTGATATATAATATGAATGTAACTCTTCAGAAAATTTTTGCAATACATTAAATAACTTGATGTCAAAAAGAAAATCTATATTTGTTAACACTTTTCTAAAACCAAAAATCCTCTAAAGATGAGATGAATGCTAATTTTGAAATAAAACCTTTTTTATTAATTTGAACTCAACAAAACAATACACTTCATCAGATATACTTAATGAGTCTGTCAACAAAAATGTGTCTCCTAAATGTCTTTTTTTACCACATTTATGCATTACTACAAATAACTCCAAAAGAAAACGATAACACCCACACTCACCTTTCCACACAGTCACTTAATCGAGATGCTAGAGATGAAGCGGGAGCGTCGTGACCTCCGATGGCGTACAGGAAACCATGCCAGGTGGCCACTCCCACACCCCCACGCCTTTTGGCCATGGGAGCACAGCTGCTCCACCTGTATGTAGATGGACATCCCCGTAAAATAAATAATGACAGGGGCAAAATGAGCATCATAAGCCTCGAACCTTTCAGGAAACCCTAATGAAGGTGCTTTACAAAGAGAAAGTGTTTGATTGCGTCCTGACGGAGTTAATAGTCTCTTTTGGTCCGTGGATAAATAACCTCACAGGAATCACGAGGGGAAACGGCAGCAGACAGGAAATAAAGCAAGGGAATGCAATTAATTCTGGTGAAATAAAGCCCACAGGGTTTGACCTGTTTGTGTGAGGGTCAAAACTCTCCACTGATCGCAGGCAGGAAGAGCCGTCCCGACCTCCGACTGCATATAACCTGAGGAAGACAGAGGGCGGCGTTAATCTGTGCAGACTTCCACACAGAAAATATTGCTCATATTTCTGGGGCCCTTTTAACTAGGTGTGTGTGCCTTGTCAAAGTTTATGGGGGGAAAAAAAGGAAGTCGAATAGAATCCCTTAACTGGCACTCTCGAGGCATCAGAACCTCTTAGCAGTCACTCATTTTGTATGCGTGTGGGTGTGTGTGTGTCTTTGTGCGCTAGTATCTGTGGATTTGAGGTTGGGACGTTGAAGGGGAAAATGCAAGAAGACTAGTCAAGCAAGTAATGAGCTCCATCAGGCAAAGAGCCGGGAGAGTATACAACAAATACATGCCACAGTTACACACACACACACGCATACACACACACACACACTGTACTACTGCAGGGCATGATAAGTAGAAAGCTGTGTTCAGCATTAATTAGCATCGGTAGAGCCTTTTGCTGTAGTCGCTCTCCGAGGCAGTGAAAAATGAAAACAACAGAAGCTATTAGAATCAAAATGGTGAGCTGTCTTATTCTGGAGCCAGTGAGGAGCTACAACGCTGAACTTATTAAGGCCCGCTATGCAAATTTGTGTGTATGAGCATGTATACGTCCCTGTGAGTGCTGTTAAACTTTCCCCGTACTGTGGGATACTGGTGTATCTGCCTGCGAAGAGTGATTTTGCAAAGCAGTGTCTTTAACTCTCGGAGCTTTTGCCTGCAAAGAAGCAAGGATGTAGCTTTGCAGCAAACCTCAAGGAATGGATACTCCTCATTAAAGGGTCAGTTTTTCATTGCCCACAGCTACAAAGTAAAAGAAAAAGTAACATATGGTCTGTGCAGTACTTTTGAAGGATGAGGAAAGTTTTCACATTTCTCAAAGAGTCGGCTGTCTTCAGACGTAAAGCCAACCTAAATAATCTTATAATGAAAATGTTGCAATAAAAAGTTGAAGGTTATGGTACAATGAGCATTGAACACACCCCATTATATATCAATTCACAACCAGAACATTTTGCAGCTGTGGGCCTTTTGGAAATGTTCTGATGACCACCCAGAAGTTTCTTACATCCCTTTGCTGAAATACATCCTGCAATTGAAGATTTAAACTCAGGGAGACACTGATTCATTTAATGCCTTCCCAATAACCTATTATTTGGGTTTCTCTGTCTATAAAGAACTATGACATGCCACCAGAGAGACTGTGACTCTTCTGTGTTTTTGGAAGTATTAGTCTGGTCTTGCTTAGACTTTCTGTCGTGTCATTTTTGGCATTTGTCCATGAAACTCTCAATTTAATGAGAGGCAACAAAAGTCGGTTGTTCAATGTCTGTCTGGTGCTAACAAGTCTTAAGATTTTCAAGATAGTTCAATAGAGGTTTTTTGTTAACATATTTTACATCCCTGTTACAATTAGTTTTCAAATTCATTACTCATTTATGTTTCTGTTATTCATATAAAACAAAATGTATTTATATTGAAATATAATAACTTTCCATAAAGCAAAATGTGAAGATTTTTAAAGATTTTATGGAATACTGGCACTGTTTTTCTTCTAACATTAGTTTGAGATAATTCAAATTACTTAATAATTTATCCCTTAGATTCTCTGTTTTTTTAGCATATCCATTTGCAGGACATTTTTAGCTAACATATGTATTCATCCATTTCGAGAATTAAGTAACTGGCCCCTAATATATGAAAACATAAAACAATATTTTACTGATGTATTCAGGTTATCTGAACACAAAGACATGTGATTGACTGGCAAGGTGCCCAGGATGTACCCCGCCTTTTGTTTGATGGCTGCTGGGATAGGCTCAAGACTCCTGCAACTCTGAATTGTATTTGGCTAGTATAAAAATGGATAGAAGGATGGATGGAAAAAGACTGAGATCTAAGCTTGAGGTCTTACCTTGAGGAAATAATCAAATAAAGAGGCCAATGCTATCTCTGGGGAACAGATTGTACCATTTGAAATACTCTGTTGGCATTGAGAGCAGATAAAATGTTGATTTGCTTTTATAAATGTATTTACCTTTGGATTGTAGATGTAATGTTTATGCTTTTAGCAGATGCTTTTCTCCACAGCGACTTACAATGACCCTTTTGTTTAAACATATTGGTGGTTCCACTATTTCTGACCAGAACAGGCCACACTTATGTCCTTGCTGAGATCACTGCTATGTAATTGGACTGGACTCAAGCAAAAAAAAAATCTAAATACTTTTCCATTTCTTTGCTGAGGAATATCTGATAAATTGTATTGGAAACATAAACAAAAATATAATCACCTCTGAATCATTGATAAAAGCACCTCTTAATCATTTTAGAACTAAAGAAACCTTCATTGGAGCTCTGTGAGGCGAATCGTTGTTATTATATCCGCTCTTGCGGAGGTAAGGTTTCAGCTGGTGGTTATTACTGACCACTGCTGACTGATAATGATATACCATCCATACAACATTCATAGCAGACAGATCTGGACAACCGGCAGGTCAGCCAAGGACACGCACTGAATATCTATGAAGTAATGCTAAGTTAAACAAAGAAAGCAAGGTAAGAAAAAGACTTGATGCTAGACTATGTCCTTCCATATCTTCTATATGGAAATCTGCATATCGCACAGACAATGGCCAATCACCATAAGATCCCAAACACTAACTTTGCATCCTGGTCAGATGTCAGATGTTCATTTTTGCCCCCCGCTCAGCAAACTCTGCTGCTTCTCTGACACACACCTTAATCTTTGTGTAATACGGTTTTTAGTTACAGATTTAATGCATTAGTGGACTGGTTGAAGTCCGAAATGGATTTGGAGATGTTTTAATCACCAATCTGTATTTGACGCTACTTTTATACTCAATCTTGTCACCCTTACCTGTAACATTTGTGGAAGCTTCTAGGATGGTGTTACTATTGGATAAAATTTTGTTTTCCTTTGCCTGTGTCCCAACTCTTTTTTTTTTTATTGGTGAGACTTTTTATAGCTGTGTGTGTTACATGGAGTTTCAAACTATTTAAGAAGTTTAAAATCAAAGTTATCCCGAATACTGACAATTACATGCCACTTAGTGAAAAAATCTGAATATGAAGGGATTTTGAAGGTCACTTACTTGCCATTCAGTACGGCTACCCCTACTGTGCTTCTGGGTGTAGCCATGCTCGCAACAAAGCTCCACTGACGAGCTTGTGGGTCCCACCTGGATGACACAGTGTAAACTTTTAGGTAGAGGAAGGATTTTAACATCATCACGTCGTCATCATCATCTCACCATCTAACTGTGAGCTTTCTTTTCCATCAGAACAACTGTAAACCAACTAAAAAGTCTGGATAATCTTCTCATCTTTGTTTTGGTGTGAAGAAAGATATAGGAAAGTCATGCCTCTGGTCAAAAGGAAGCCTCACTTACAGCAAAGAAAGGACCCACAAAGAATAACTCTGTTTTTCACTAATTTAGCGGAAGCTAAAACCTAAAGGACAGGATATAACAGACTCAAACAACAACATAAAGTGTACCTTTCCACGGTGCTGAGGTAGCTCCAGCCATCATGTCCTCCCACCGCATACATGGGTCCCTCCAGGACAGCCACACCTGCAATAGCAACCATGTTTGCCTGATCAAATCGTGGCCTCTCTAAAAAAACAAAAAAAAACACCTTGAACGAGCTCTTCAAACAACACGCCTTTAAATCAAGGGACGGGAGTTTGTAATGTTTGTGTGCCACCAAATCCAGGGCATTAGGCGTGTAGACTTAACAGCATGCTGACACTTTTCTTTCTGCAGGGATTTATCTGCCGCAGCATCTGTGCTGCCAGATGTGCATCCGACTTCCCATCTTACTTCACTGCTTGTACAAATTTTTAAATACATAGAAGCAGCACACCACAGGGAATTAAATCCTGTCACAGTCACAGCGAGCGAGATGTTTCCTCAAACCAGAGAAACGGGTTCAGTCCGCACTGTGAGCTTTACTTTCCACTGTTTCAGGAAGAAATCCCAAACAATCTCCGCGCAGAACTAAATTTAGGAAAAAAAAGCTAACATGACAGAACACTGAAGTTCTTACCCCAAAAGCAGTCAGCATGTCTAGCAGAAAAGACCTCATTTCAGATTGTACTGCCTCGCATTTTTTACACGGAACAGGTGCCTACCTAAGCCGTGTCTGTGCGTGGACATGGGAGGCATGACGCTCCAGGTTTTGCTGTGCGGATTGTAGCACTCCACAGTGTTGAGGGTTTTGAGTCCGTCTCTGCCTCCGACGACGTAAAGACGGCCGTCGAGGACAGCCACGCCAAACTGTAGCCTCCGGCCACTCATGGTGGCGACCTGCCTCCACGAGTCTCGACGCAGGCAGTACTGCTCAATACTTGTGGCACCTGGAAAAAAAAGAGAAAAAAAAACACAGTTTGTGGACTGAAGTGAAGATTTAAAGACATGACCTTTAATACTGTGGAGTAAAGAAAGTACTGTAGAGAGCCTTGTAGAAGAACCTGTAATGTTAACAGTGTCTACAGCTCAAAGAAAAAAAAAACATACAAGCCCTAATATCTTACCTCTAATTATGAATTACAATGTCCAACAGTTCATAAAAATATAGGTGGGTTTGCAAGTCTCGGGCTACTACTTATTCCGTCATATTTTTCTTCAACAGGTTTATGTTAAGACACTCACACTTTACTTCAATCTTTTAAATCTGTCTTCAACTATAGTTCTCCAAGCCATATTCAAGTCTATTAAAGAAATTGTTTCTTTGGAATAATGGCTGTCAAGAGGCCATTATTAAAGGGGGGGATATAGGAAGAAATGGTGAGCACAAATGACAAAAATTGGTGGCAACAGGTCTGATGGCAGGATAAAGCTTCTCTACAGCCTGGACTAAAACCTTATTGAAGCAGTTCTGAGAGAAAACAGAACAACAGGGTCTTCCAGAGAAGAGATTTGGAGATATGCTTTCTTATTATTTCTCTCAGAGGGTTACAGAGTGAACAATAGAGGTGCTCCTTCCAAATATTGGCTTTATATTCCATTAAAATCATGCTTATGTAGTGTAATTTTATATATATGCACACATCTTTCAATACATGCCTGCACCTGTTTCTCATTTGACTGGTGCTCTATACATTAATGACAGGCGGCTTCGGAGTCCTGCGCAGTACCGTATGTTAATCAGTAAAAGTAATTTTTTTCTATTCCCAAAATAGATCTGTCAGATTTACAATTCTACACATCAGTCGTTTCAGTCCTCCGAGCTTCACATTGAAAGGCTGTGATGTGTTACTCAAATGCATCTTTGCAAAAATGAAAGATGACGACAGTGTTGTGTATGTGTGTGTGTGTGTGTTTGGTTCTACCTTTGGAGGCGTCCATACCCCCCACAGCAAACATGGCCCCTACGGTGGCCTTTCGAGGCCGTGTGCGGGGGCTCTGAAGCAAGGGCCGGAGCTGGGGCAAAAGATGATACTTCATCCCCTCCATGATGAGTCTCTGACACTCCACACTGTCACGGAGGAGGGAGTTTGTCTCCAGGTCTGCCAAAAACTACAACGCATCAACACAAGGGATCAGGTAACAGTTACCGCAGAAACAAATGCTGCATAAATGCATGGACCCCTTTGAGATGGCTGTAGGGCCTGTGTCGGTTACCGTGTTAGCACTGATTGAGGAGGTTCGAGAGTCTAAATAAGGCAGCTCCCTTATCGATTGCGAGATTAGATCAGAACAATCTGTCTGTCTCACACATACACATTCACAAGTACGCACTGATCATCTGACACACGAGAGCACTAATCTGTCCTCAACATCTCATCAGCTCTGTAGTCAATACTCTCTAACCTCATCACGTACACACATGCACACACACAGCGTCATACAGATACGTACACACAAACAGCCCGGGGCTGCAGAATGAATCCTTCAATCCACCAGGCTGTTCCTTAAATTACATCTAGAGGAAACAGCTGCCTGCATGTGAGGCAGGGTTTGAGAGGGTAGTTCTGCCTGCAGGAAAGAATTTCCATTTAAATCGGAGCGTGACTGCGTCTCTTTATGCACGCGTGTGCTAATGGATGGCAGACAGGAAGGGATTCCTGGAACTGGAAGTAAATTTTACATCTTTCATCTCTGCGGACTTGTTGTAAGTTGCGAGACGGCTGTGACGAGGATGAAGAGATAATTACATCTCCCCTCTTGTTTGTCACCATAATGCCCTCTCCCCTCAACACAGAGAAGAACAAGATTTGGTCACTGAATTCTAAATCAAATTTCACAGCCAGACTTGGAGAGCGTAAAACAAGCATGGTAAATGGATAAGCAGCTTACGAGCCGGGGTCAAACCATTCTTCTGCGCACAATCACAGGGAGAAAATTACAGTGAGGCATTTCTCCGCATTCATTTGTGTGTGCCGAAGAAGGACAGATACAGAAAAACATGTTTGTCCCTCTCTGTGGTAATTTAACCATCGTGCTGCGCAGGACTGAACGTGAAGGGCGAGATAAGGCAGAATCCTGCAGGCTTCCCACCTTCCCCTCCCCGTCCTCTCTTTACCACACAGTATGCAGAGGAAAAGTTGTGTTATCCTCTGTCTCAGATCACACTGGGAAAAGACAGAATGGGCCCCATCCTCTCACAACAAACACACTCTCACTCTGGTACACAGGAAGAGCACACATCCCTCAGCTATGGACGCTTTTTCATGCTTCGGGTCTCTCCCATTTCTCTCTCTTTTCTTCTTCCCCACACAAAACCCGAGAGGCTCACTCGGCCTGAAACATCAAATTAATTGATTTCATCAACAATGTCACAGCGAACCTCTTTTCCTCCCTTCAGCATAGTCTTTTAAAGTAATCAGGGATTCAGCAAGGGTCTGTCACTTAGGCTTTTTCTCAAGCAAGCTAATATACCAAACTACAACTGAGTCAGCCACTCAAATGAATATCATGCTCACTTGGGATAATCATACAGTATATGCATTAGCATATTAGCGTTGTCCTTGTAAGCCTGTTAGTGACTGGTTCTTAGCTCCTTGGGCCGAGCAACCTCTTTCAGATATCAGATCCCTCCATTTAAAACTTTCTCTTCAATGTTTAATTTACAACAAGGACTATATTAAGTTAAAACGTCTGCTCCTTACTGTCGTAGTGCAGCATAACAGAAAGATACTCCCCTTTCAAGATAAGATCAAGTATGGGAGGACATGTCTGTCACAGTGATAAGGAATTAGGGCTATTAATCTGACGAAGTGATACCCATTTGATGAGTGATCACACTATAGGCCGTCAGCTGTTTGAAGTCTATTGATCAGCAAACAGTGTAACGTTTATATGCCACTTTATTGGCATTTCAAGGCTCATGAGGTTGCCGCATGTTGATTCATCTATTGGTTTAAGTTGTTGGGAATGGTGGGGGAAGGGCTGTCACACATGATGCAGTAAAGGCAGAATCAGCTCTAAGCTCTGTGCCCCTGGCTTTCTGTCCCTCTGCTCCCATCAATCTTCAAGCCCCCGATTACATGCTGCTGCTGCTCGTGATTTTAGGTGATCAGGGCAAAGTCATCCATCTGAGGCAGTTGGGTACGCCGTACGTTACAGGTGAGGAAGAGGGTGGGGTGTGTATCCTGGCAGAAATGATGGAATGAGCAGTGGGATGCACGAGGGAGGCTATTTCCCTGCAGTTTCCCGTTCACAGAGAGGGAGACTTCAGAAGGAGATTAATAGAAAAGATTACTTTGCTGTAGTTAAGTGAGGTATCAGAATCAATTAAGTTTTAAATTAGTGTGTGTGCGTGTGTGTGTGAAGCCGAAGCCTTGGGCGCTGAATAAGGTTCTGCCAAGTAAATGAACTTCTAAGCAACGGTCACTGCTACACAAGCTAAGCAGAACAGAGATTTACACACTGAACAAATTCTCCCACGTTTGACAGAGTAACGGAGTTGATGTGTGGTAAACAAAATGGTCTGGAACATTCCGAGCAGGAAAGTGAAGCTGACTGGGGATGGGGACGACTGCTCTAACAATGCAGTAGGAGGAGGTAAGCGGCTGTGGAAAATAACTGGGACTGGTGTTGGTTTTGAGAACATAAGCAACTTTGCCATTTGCCACATGAACTCCTCCAACATTTATGTGGTCCAAGTTTTTAAACATAGAGAAGGAACAGCATGGATACAGCATCCAGTTACCTTTAATGAACATATAAAGCTGTAAGCCATTTAACTAATTTGCAAGCAATATTCAAAACAGTATGTCTGTTCAATGACACATTCAATTATATGTATCCCTTTAGAAAAATCAAAGATTTTAGATCTATTAATCGCTGGAATAAGCTTCAACTACACAACACATATTCCAAATAAACCAAAATCTTTCTGGGGTTCTTACTTGTGGTCGAAGCAGCGGGAGTCTGACGTGAGAAAGCAGTAAAGGAAGGTGGCGTTGGCGAGTGGGTGCATCATGACTGACCCAGGTTAGCAAAGAGGTTACCACAGTTTCCTCATCGGGCACATTGATGTCATCAGAAGTTAGAAGCCTCTCCATCTCCTCCACTGGGAGCAACAGGAACTCCTGGCCTCCAACCACCTCCAGAAAGTTTTCCTGGTGGATAAAGAGGGATAAAAATCGAGTGATGAAAAAGTTGGGAGGACTAGCAGAGCATGTGTTGCAGAACAGGAAAGCTGGATGAAAACAGGGCAGGATAAGTAGTTAAAAGGCTCTGGAATAAGAAATAGAGGGTAAAAAAAAGGAAATTACCCATTTCCTTATTTGTTATCGTCTAATTTTATATCAGCTATTTTAAAAATGGATCAATTAATTTAGTTAAATTGTGATTTTCTTCATCCATTTACATTGAAATAAATATTTTCTAAAGGAAAGCAATGTTCCCTGCTTCTAACATGGACAACAAAAATAATGAAGCTGTTGAGACTATACCCCTAACCAAAACGCCAGTGCTATGCTTTGCATTTTTAAAGGAAATTATCCCAATCCGAGACCCAAATTTAATAAGCCCCTCCGTTGTTCCGTTAAATTAGATAAAAAAAATTGGGATCAGTAGTTTCTGAAAAACTACAACAATTCTGTAAATATGTTGTGGCTGCTTGTGTGTGAATGTGAATATGAATGTATGTGCAAGTTACCTAAATACAGAGACAGTAAGACACAAATAAATCCACCTTTACAGCATAATTACCTCAGATTAGATGTTCTAGAGAAAGAGTAACACAGAAGCATTGCCACTGGCAGACAGAAAGTGGAGCTAGGTGCAAATGAGGGATGTAAAGAAGAGAGAGAACCAAAAAGAAAAAAAAAAATCATCAAGATGATGAAAGAGCTTTTTCACGGTCACCATAGCAACTCAGTGCTGAAAAACATCCATTGTGGCAGTAATGGTGTGCGACGTGCTGCGAATGAGGAATCAATCTGTTCCTATACAAAACTGTTCACGCCGAAACCTCGACAACTGGGCTCGTCTGCCTGAGCGCACGCTGTTGTCGCCATTTTCAAAGAAGCTCATTTTTTTGTTTGTGGATAACATGAAAAGCAGCAAATGCGGACCATTTGAGCCGGTCGTACCCACCATGGTGTAGGCGTTGGCGGCCCTGTGAAGGTCGTTGCAGCCCTGAGCGTCAGCGTAGGACCGAATCCCCAGGCAGTTAGATGGGTGGAGCTGCTTCACCAGGAAGGAGCAGCAGGCCTGAACCACCGAGGACAGCTGAAGCAGGCAAGAGGCCGACAGCAGAGACTCGATGGTGTCCTCCCTCAATTCGAGACGCCCTGGTGCATGTGAGACGGAAAATAAGGGAGGAAAAAGAACAGGCGTTTCCTTTTTGAAACCCTTCCCGTGAACTCAAAAAACAGATGTTGCGGACTTATTATGAGTGACTTCTTGGGTTCCTTATCTAGTCTATGGCATGGTGTACACAGCATACCTGTGTATGCATATTGAACTAGGACCCACAAGGCATCAGGGTCCACTCCTTCTATCTTGACCTCATCCTGCTTCGCCTCCCGCACGTCACTGGTAAACATGGCGGCGAAGTAGTCTGACACGGACGAGAGGACCAGTCTGCGAGAGAAGATAGTGTCAGGCATCAGTCTGGGAGGACGGACGGCTGGAACAGAGGAATGTGGCACTGTGAATTTTGCCAATAGGATGAACCTGGGGAGACCTGGAGAGCGGATTGAAAGCACAGCCTGGAGGACTCAACACAAGCAGATGGGGCGGGACAGAATCCTCTCGTAAACAGGTCAGGAAAGACCAGTTTGAAAATTTCAAAGCATCTAGGACAGCTAAGCAGCCTCTGAAGCTTTTACTTCCACCATATCAGAGCAACTAGCACTGCTTTGCAGGTAAAGCAAAGACAACAAATACAGTATAATTTCATCTACTAATGGGTGAAAAATTCACATTGATGAGTCAGCCAATTAGAAAAGACACATATTTGGTATGAACTGACCTGTTGATAAGAAAAGACAGCTTTTCTTTGACATTGTGCACATGAACTGACCTTTTGCTGAGAGAATACAGCTTTTCTTTGACATTGCACACAATGTCCATCCCTGAAGGAGCCATCCCAAAGGAAAAATAAAGTCAAGTCTAATTCTAAGGATCGTCCAGCAAGACAAGGACGATCGTAGTGCGCCGATAAGTGCAGCAATCCAATTGTAAAAAATAAGAAAGAAAAATATGTTTAAAAGAGACTGTGACATGAAACAGAAACTAGTAGTGCCTCATCTGAGGCAGTCTAGTAAAGCGCAAGGTTGCACCTCCCTCAGTTCTAAGATTTGCTAACTCAGCTATCAGGATGTCATTAGGTCTTTAGATGAAGTAAAGAAAAGCTAAACATTACAATCTATTTAGGTGACACAAAGCCACAAATGTGGAGAAGGATTGCATGATGATTAAACAGCTGGTAGAATCAGCTCTAAACAGCAAGGACTGCAAATCAGGGTCTGGTCCAGACTTTGGCTGAACCACTGCTTTTCTTTGTCAGTCATTCTGTTTCTGCCGTTTTGAATTATGACAAATAGCCTCGTGTTACACGGACGGGTTCATGGTTTTAGAGATGGTTGCAAAACAAGCCCCAATCATCAGCCTTCCACCACTGCTGGTATGAGGCCTCTGGGCTGTGTTTGTATTTCACCCCACGCGGGGCTGTGCATTCTGACCAAACAATCTCCACTTCGGTCCGGCCTTCCAGAAGGACCTTGTTCCAGAATTCTTGTGGTGTGTTCAGATGTGACTTTGCAAACCAAAATTGTCCCTCCATGTTGATGTCAGAAGGCAGAGTTTTGACAGTCTTTCTAAACAAACCAGAATTTTTCTGTCTTTTTTAACTGTAACGTAGTGAATTTGAACATTTAACATGCTAAATGAAGCCTGTGGAGAACTAATGTGTAATTCATGTTTTCTTTGCAGTTTCCTCAAGTTTCACCAGCACAATCTGAACTTTGGATGAACGTTTTGGAACATCCACTCCAGGGAAAACAGTTTTAAATGTTTCCCATTTATTCCAAAATAGATTGATGGGCCACATATTGTTTGCAAATGATCTTATAAGCCTTACCAGACTGAAGGAGAGAAACAAATCCGTCTCTAAGCTCTGTGCTGATGCCATCCCTCTTTGGTAATGTAATTACACACACCTCAATCCTCAAGAGCAGAAAACTGACAAAAGGTATTTTAAAGGTGCTCATACCTGTTTATAATCAGTAGATCAAGTAAATTTGAGGAGCATAAACTGGCTGCCAGATACCCTATTAATTCCTATAGAAGCAAGGAGAGTGCACATCGTTTTTACTTCAAACTAAAGGCTTCAAGACATCACAATCTTAAAGCATTTTTAGGAATATTGGACATTCCAGGCTCCTGTTTGGCATCACAGTTTGCTTCTGCCAGCCTGATTCAGATTTAGAGTGACTTAACTGTAAAAGCTGCTGCCCTTACAAAGAGTAACGAAGTTATCCAAGGAAGCCAAGCACACAAAGTCTATGTTCGTCTGGTTGTCAAGCTTTTGCTCCAGTTAGCATGCCTCACATGGATTAGAGACAAATTTATGTGGGGGTATCCTATAAGATTTTTTTCTTTTTTTTAGTTTTTTTTTTATACAACAATAAATGAGTATGTCTGTTTCATTTTTCTGAAAACTGATTGCTGGTGGGGTTTAGAGAATACGGCTTTTCTTTTCTTTTTTTTACATTCTCCTTGAAAGGACACTGCACCAGTTTCTGCCCCAGTCAACAGTTCATTTCCAACAAACTGTTTTAAATCACAGAAACGCTTGCCTGGGTGTGTCTGTCAACTACAACAGGTGAGCCCGCTGAACAAGAGACTAATGTGGTTAATATAAGGTCAATGTCAAATTTATATCCCGAGGGGTCTGACAGAGATGCATCGTGGCGTAATGGGAAATGGAGGAGATGAAGGACAGAGGGTCATTATCGAAATGTCACTTGTAAGACACTTAATTAATTCCCTGCTGCACCAGTCCATTACCATTTGAAGTCACTGTGAAGTCTCCTACTTGCATATCATGGTAAAAAATAAAAAAAAGCGGGAAAAAAAGAACCATAGATCAAAATTAGTAGTTTTACATCATACCATTAGCATTTTATAACGAGTGTTTTCTTTTCTCCTGCAAATGAATCATCTTGACAGCTGAGAGATGCACAACGCCAAAAAATGTTTTGATGTCTTGACTAAATGTGGACAGTGGTACGTAAATGTCTCACAGTATACCTAGTTAAACAGAAAAACAGTTAACCACCAGTTTGTTTAGCCAAGTAATCGTAGGAACAAAGGACTTTTGTCCATGATTGTGAACCTTTCCTTTTTATTCCGGTTTTATCTACGCACATCAACACTCCACCTTGGACTCCAGGTCTAATTGAGGATATAACCTTAAGTTTAATGGATAATGAAACTAATCACCATTTGCAGACCTGACCCACATGAGAGGGGTCCTCCTGTGCATAAATGGCTTTCTGTGCCTCCTCGGTGGTCTGTGCTTGTGTGCTTTAGGCGAGCTTAACATGCGTGTGCATGAACTCAGTGTGTTTGTTTCACTGAGGGTGACACTGAGACCTTGACAGATCGCCTGAAGCAGAGAAGAGCAGAGTACCTGTGTGTGTGTGTGTGTGTGTGGTCCAGGTGTATATGCACGGTGGAGACAATGATGTCAAAATACACTACAGTCAGCAGGATGGTGTTCTGCCAGAATTCCAATGGCTTATATGTTTTCTTATTTCCGTTTCTCCTTGAGAAACACAAACAAGCACACTTAATCTTTCATGTGGGTCTCTGGCTTTTTATTTGCACACAAACACAGATACGTCGCCTGAAGATACAGGCATGGCGGTCAGTCAGCCTTGCAGAGAGAAGACAAAATGCCACAGAGAGGAGAGCCGGAAACAGATGAGCCGAACTCAGGAAAAAGACGGCAAGAGCTCGCAACTGAGCCAGTTTTTTTTCTTTCTTTTTTTTTCCCTCCACTGACAGTGTCCCACACCATAACAAGCAGCACATCCACACTCACACACACAGAGGGGAAAAACAGAAAAGCCAGTCATAACGGGTTCCCTCAAACCTTGTGACTTTCCTCGACATGTGCTGAAATGTGTAGGTATGAAGGAAGCTGCTGTCAGCTGTTAGTCATAACGGTGGCCTGACTGTAAGAATTGCAACATGTGAGCATGATGTGTTTAAAAAACTTTGGAATCATTCTGGTACAAACCAATTTTTGGCTTTTTTCAACAGCCATCAGACAGACTATCGTGAATCTTCAGCATCAGCGATTCATGCAACTCCCAGGGCAAATTTTAGTGGGTTGTCTCTACTGCTACTGATATACTACAACACGTCTAACATGGTTTGTGTCAAACAATCCACGGCTTACGAAACCGTCCCTAATGATTCTGCGGGAAAGCTCCCAAAGTGTCTTTGTGCAGCCCTTTAACAGAGGATTGGGGTTAACCAAATGTGGATTTGCAAAACCAAACAAGAAGTAATCGACCCGGCAAGTCTTTTGTCTTGTAAAGCCAAACTTGTAAAATCTCTGTTAAAGTGCAGCACACAAGCCAACTCCCAGGAGCTTGTCCACGGCCCTCCGGTCCCGTCTCCCACACAGCGGATCACAGAGGCCCGATCGGGGCTGCAGATTCTAAAAACAGAGGCAGCAAGCATAACCATTAATTTACAGTAATGGTAAAATGAGGCAATGGCTTACTTACTGAAAATCATTTCAAGTGGCATTTGTAGACTTCCAGTTGGGAATACAAAAATAGATTAGCGGAGTAAAGCATTTGTTTGCAGTGCTGCCAAAGACAAAATGTAAAAATTGTATGCTGCTTTTTTTTTTTTTTAAAAAACTGAAGGCTTCTTTGCTTAAAGTGCACATTTTGAAAAAAAAAAAAAAAAAAAAAAAGTGTCTCTGTATGGCAAAAGTTACCCATTCAGAATGGGTTTCACATTTGTAAATCTGAGACAGAAAACAGAAGAGCGTGCGCGTTTTCATATTTAATGCACACAATGCAAGATAAATCATCTGTAAAACAAAAGCACCACTCTCCACCAGAGATGTCTCCCTCCCACCTTCTTTTCTCGCGCAAACACAACGGACAGCACACGGACATACTCACTCGGCAGCAACTTCAGCCGCCGACACACTCATTCACATCCACCATTAGGATTCTCCTACAGTGGGGTCTTTTGTTTGTCACCATCTGCGCCTGGAGGACTGAATCAAATGAGGCAGAAGAGGAAAGGGCAGTGAGAGAGAAGGACTCTTTCTGATGCAGAGGACCACTTTTCTGTCTCTTCCCTTCTTTCTTTTTTTTTGTGCAGATGGACCCCGCGCTGCTACACCCATGGCCACATGCCCAGAGAGAAGACAGAAAAGGAACAGGGTAGTGGGGGCCGTGTGTGTTTGTTTGCGTGCCGGGAATGATGCATGACTCAGAGACTCTGCTCACTATGGCACATATAGCGCAGATATACTGTGGTAAAAAAGACAGAGCCTCTTATGAGCATGACTATGCTTCTGCTTTGTGTGAGAGACTCTTTCCAAACGGCATCCTTTATGTTTGAGCACAAGTCCATTTTGGTGCCCAGCTTTCCATTTAAGAGCTGAGAAAAGCTGAAGATATTTTTCACATATTTCCACAACTGGCAGGTCCAGAGGTGGAGGGAAGCAAATATAAAAACAAAGGAAAAACTGTGAGAATAACCTAAATCCCCATTTTGTATGTACACAACTCCAACGTTCCTTTGCCGTTACCTGTGCGCAGGTATATGCCTTTCTCCCGCCACCAGTATGACATCACACAGCTGCCTGGTCCTCAGGTATCCCTCCATCTTGCGGAAGGTGACATCAGCGTGGGACAAAGCGGTGAACATGCACTCCTCTGGGCACACGCACGGCTCCAACGACACGCACGAGGACAGAGTTGCGCTGCTGTTGGACGTCCTGCACGCACACACACACACACCAGCAGAAAAAGAAAGGCATTAAAACCAACACAAACAGACAAAGCTTCAAAGAAGGAGGCCAAGGCTTTGGGTGGATGTGTTGGTGTAGATTTTCTTTTGTCCAGGACCAGGACACAGAGACAGCTGTGTAGAGGGAGCCGCGCCAGCTGCTCTGCGCCTTCCACGTTACCACATTTTCCTTTGTATAATTTCCTCACAAATTCACACTCCTTTACTTTTTTTTTAATTTCTTTTTTTTAGCACAGCTAGTGTATTTTGCCAGGGACACACAAGACCTCTTTAATAGTCCAATTACTCGGAGTCAATGGACAGATAAATTTAGCCCATTTAAACAAAGAGTAGGCCAATTAAACGGCTGTAGGAGCTACACTCAGAATGTACACAGTCATTTTCTCTGACCTATAATGGGCAATAGGTTTTCTGATGTCTATACCAATAATAGGAAACAAAGCTGGGACTCCTGGATGGCTCCACCCTGAAAACTTAATGACTGTGAGGTCTTATTTTCCAGTCGAACGCTGCAGATGTGAGTGTGTGTGTGTGTGTGTGCCTGCTGAAGATAATCACCAAAGTATAGCTGCCCTATGAATTATCAGCCAACATGGCTCCCAAACCAGCATTTAATTTCAGAGAGAAAGGGCTGCACTTCGGTTTTTAATTTAACAGCAGCGGTGGCAAGGACTGGCCCTGCAGCCTGCAAGAAGCCAAACGCGATGATACAATTACAGCCGCACAGTTAGAGGAGAAATCACTTTATTTGAGCGGAGGAATAAGCGTTGGGGTGCGCATATTCCAAAGCCTGAGCGGCTGTAAATCACGCTGCGCTGAATTGCAATGTCTCACACACGCATTTCCTCTCAGGAATAAAAAGAAAAGAAAAAAAGAAAGAGTGAGCTTTAGAGAACCTCACAACTATTCATCGAGAGGGAAGTCTTAGAACAATTGCCAAGACTGGATGAGCTAAAAAAACAAAAAAGGACGATGGAAAATCACTGGGGCTCGTCCTTCTGTGCAAAGTGCTTGTGGATGGTTATTCTTCTCTGATCAATAATTTTGACACATTTTCAATTTAGCTTTGTAACATTTTTCTCTTTTTGATCTTTATTGATTTCCTCCCTCTTGAGGGAGGGATTTCTCGTTGTATTTATTTGCCACTTAAATCTTTAAAGTTAAAAGGTTCTTCTGCTGTTTTTCCTTACAAATAGTAACAACATCCTGTAAACTACCTACCTAATACCAAACTTCATCACTTTTCAGAAACACTTGGACCCCCACCACCTCTCATCGAGACAGGGATGATACTGGTGCTGAGTGTTGGTGCTTTTTAAAAACATGGTCTTTATTTGGACAACTCTGGACCCCAAACATGACATTGTGTTTTATACAAATATATATTTCCTTTTCTTGGTCAAATGAGACTGACTTCTTGAATAATCTGCACCTCTGATAAGAACATGACTGCTGCCTACTGTGTGGTATAAACACACATCTTCATACACCCCATTAGGCAAACACGTGTGTGTGTGTGTGTGTCCTGCTGCTGATGTTCTACAGGCGGAGCCATCCTCCCTCTGCCTCTGTCTCTTCCATCCATCTCCTGTCTCCACTTTTACTTCTACAGCTAATCTCATCATTTACTCACTTCATTCCACCTCATCACATCATCCATCTGTGCCTTCATTTCCTCTCTTCCCTCTCCAGACCTAACCCTCCCAGGAAGCCTTTTTGGCTGGCTTCCGATGCCCTCGAGTATTCAAGTGTGTGTGCCTGTGTTTGTCTAAGTGCATATGTAAATGAATGGCGTGGCTAAATGCTGCCAGAGGAGATGGCTTTGAAGTGTGGGTGTGTGGGCGGGTGGGGGGGGGGACGCTGCCTTCCAGTCCCCTTCATCGAGCCTGGCAGGCAGTCAACATGGACAGAGAGAGAGCATCTCCCCATGCAGCCAAATTTGTTTAGACCCCATGCATCAGGCAAGGACACTCACCCAACTGCCAATCAGTGTCTCCCTTCCTGCTCGACTCATTCTATCATACACACACACGTTGTAACAGAGAGAGGGCGAATGAGTGGCCGAGGTGTGGGAAAGAAGGCGGGAGGGCAAAGGAAGGGAGGAAAACCAAGCGCACGAGAATTTTCTGACTTGCCGGGATTCTGTGTGCAACCCCTTCCCGTGCGGGGATTTAGCCTCCCGGAGCACCACAGCATGCACAGGAGCTCTCTGGGAGAGAGGACGAGTCACACGCAGGGAGGCATGAACACACGTACACACATCACATGTATGCAGCAAAAGCCAATTTCTGCGTTGGTATGGCAACCATAAAATGTGCAAGAATATGGATCTATGTGTGCACATGCACCATACACAGTCAACACACGCTGGAACTCATACATTTTTCTCAGCTATAATGAGAAGTATGTGAATGTGTGAAGTATATTTTCTCTACGAGCTTAGGCTCCAGACATCCATGGCAATCACCGAGATACCACATCCAGTCTTGAATACTAATAGAATTATCTTTTTTTCCTAGGACAAACATACATTAACAGTGACAACAAACTTGTGAAAAATAATGTCAGGCATTCACCTTTTCAAAATGACCTCAACTTTTTCTAAAAGCTCTACAAAAAACTATGTGTGTGTGTATCAGAGTTGGGAGGAACTTGTATTTATGGTGCCCTATGAATCATTTACATATTCCGGTGTGTATCTTAAGAGCAGTGATGGGAGGTTGTCAAATGCATCATGTCGCCGAATGAATAAACAAAAAAAGGAAAAAGAACAACACAATTCCTGATTGAATTATTGGTTTTGCTTTGTGGCATTTGCTTCGTTGTTTTTATTATTTTTTTTATCTGTGTCAGAAGAAGTTGAGATGCTCTAATAATGTCTTTGCTTTGCTGTCTCCATGGCAACTGTTAATTAAATGTCTGTCTCACACCACAACAGTTGCAGGCCACCTAAGTCCAAGATAAATAAAGATAGCAAGACAGCAACCATTAGAAGAACATTTCCTATGCAGGATAGCACTTGCTTTCATTTTTAGGGTTAGAAAATTAAAAAGAAAACAGAATACTGTAGCTTTGTAACCGTTACAAAGGCTCCAGGGAAAAATCAGAATACCCCACCCAAAGTCCCTCAGATATATTTTCCCTCTGTCTCTATCCTTTTTTTTAGTTAAAATAATAAATTCTACGTTCATAATGTCTTCTTGACGTGTGTCACACAGATAAGATGCAACCTCCTTAATTTAATTGTATTATTTTCGCAACTTCTTAACAGAACACAAAAGTGGACAGGGAAGGCTTTTGCTGCTCAAAAACTTTGAATGAAGTTCTTTTTAGCTAACAAAGCAATGAATGTGACTTTTTTTTGTAACTTTGTTCCCGAAACTCCGACGCATACACGAGACAACCTCTGGCCGAGTCCTCGTCTTTACCTGCAGGAGCTGGAGTCCGTTTCCGGGGGGTTGAGGTTCTCCTCGGTCCCGGCGGCCGCCGCAACGACCGCCGCTTCCTCCTCACCGCCGGCGGCATGGGCCGGGGGCTCGGGTACCAACTGGGGCACGGGGGCCTCGCCGGGGGGCTCCATGTTCGACACCGGGCGAGTGCGACGAAGATGCGGCGGGGAGACCCAGGACAGCCCCGCGGCCGAGCTCCTGCACTCCGGCTGGCTGAAGGAGCGGGTGCAAGAGTTCCCCGTGGCTCCGGCTGTCGCCCCTCCCGGACCGCCCCGACTCCCCGGCGGTTCGGCAAACTTTCTGTTCCCGCCGCCGCCTCCGCTGCCGTTACACAGGTTAGACCCAGCGCTGCCGCTGGCCACCAGTCCAATGTGACTCCCCGAGCTGGGGTTTCTGCTGCCGGCTGAGTTTGAACTGCTGCAGCCGCTAACGGACGGTCCGTCCCCGGAGCTGCCGCGCGTCCTCCTCCCGGCGAGATAATCTCCTAGCGGCGGGGAGTGAGGCGGAGGGACCGCGGGGTGACCGAACCATCTCCATCGGATCCTGAGGATCTGCTTCACGTCGAACTCCTTCCGCGAGGAAGAGCCCGTGCCACTACTCGACATTCCAGGGGCTCGACACGAGGAAATGGCGTGGGGGGGAGGAGGGGGGGGGTATCCCGTGCCTGTTTTGCCGTTAAAGTCGTACGCTGCTCCGCACGCGCGTCTCTGTTGGCAACCGAACGCCCATTAACCGCGACTGGAGGGAGCGGGCGGAAGAAAGCGGAGTATGAGGACGGAGAGGAGAGAGAGAGAGACGGGGAGAGAGGGGGACAGGGCTAAACGGGGCTCCTCAAAGTGGAGCGTCGGTGCCAAAACCCTCTGGTGCCGCTCGAACCACCAACATCTGACACAAGGACAGCTTCATGTTATATTCACATAATTAGCCCCAGACATTCTACCGTGAGGAGGATTTCTATTTGATCGCTGTCATAATTCAGAAGGTTACTCATTATGGTGACGAGGCTTAGTATAGTGACCTATGTCAGCCTAAGTGTGAGGGAATTTTCATGATAAAATACACAATTGGCGTTGAGTAAACTGATTTATTAGTGATTATAAAGTATGGAGAAAAACTAAAACAACATGTCATCTAAACCTAGCCCATTTGATTTTTATCTTTTTTCTTTGACGGATTGTACTCTCTGACCAACAACTTTCAAAAGCAATTGCACCATAAATCATTTATCAAGCAGCCTCAGTCTCGGGCCTTTGGCATCTGATGGAAAGAAACAATTGCCTCACAGTTAATTAAAAGGACATCTCGTTTCAGGCAGTAAACCCCGTCTGGGGAACTGTAAACCAAATAAATGACCCTCCATTCATTTTCCCAACATAAAATAAAACATAGGATCGTCCTGTTTTTTTCCTCCGTAGGAAACTACAGAAGATCTTTGTTTTTGTGTGTGCAGGTACAGTTATTGCCTTTGAAAGTTCGGGAGGCTGCAGCTGTCATTAGTGGATCATCAAAGACTTGTAACATTAATGAGGCCAACGACATGTCCTCCTCATCATCTTGACTCCCACCAGTCTGACTGTCTTCCACTTCTCATGTCAGCACCTCCTTCTCTTGTCTCAGCCATTCAGAGGCGTCAAAACAAGTTTTAAGAGGCTGGCATGCCAAACTGATGTTTGAGCAGATGCTGAAAACAGAAAACAGCCAGCATTACTTTTCAACACCACAACAGAGGATGTGAGAGTCCTTGAAGATTAAATATCACTTGAATGCCAACGTCTGTCAAACATGTAGACTTGTTTTTTACGCCTCCCTCTTCCCCTCCCCTCCGCGTGTCCACAAAGCATTACCCTTCGCCATCCATTACTACTCTTCCTCTCCATTTCCTTTTCCTCACTGTCTCCCCTCCATCTGCAATGCAGCAGCTATTCATAGAAAATAATGATCAGTGGGGAGCTGGTCCTGTGGGAGCTATCTCACCCATACACCAGGGGCACCCCACAGACCAGCCAACCAGAACCCCGTTCACCTTCCTCAGCAACCCCTGAACAACCACAGGATGTGCCGAAGCCACGGGGCCGGAACACAATGTGTTCTGGACCAAGTCCCAACAAAAGAACAGGAGGCATGCTTTAGAAGATCCACTCTAGCAAAAATCAATGAGTCAAACAGCCGAGGTCAGATTGTGAATTACACAGATGGGAGATGTGTTGCTCATAAATTGGCCCAGAAGACGAACAGTGGGGCCTGCGGACAGTTTTTCCTCCATAAATAAAAGGCTGAGAGTAGCGAGCTGAACACGGCCAATTTAACTCTCGCCACAGTGTTTGCCAGACTCTGCGAAACAAGGCTGCTCTTCAGTTTCAGGGTGGACTGATTTGGACCACCCCGCCGTTTTATCTGATCAATACGACAAAGTCAATATACACACGCCCGTTCCCGCACACTCAACAAGGAAGCAGGAAAACAAATGGCAGTTTCGGGGAATGGGGAGCAGGATCTCAATCTGACACGTTTAACTGACTTTTGTTTATTCTTAAATTAACAAAACATTAAGGTTAGAATACCATGTTCAAAATTATTCAGATCCTTTTAATCAAACATTTTTATGTAATGTAATCAAAAGAGGGGAGATTGTAGAGGAAAAATATCATAATGGAGGTGTTTATCCCACACATCATGTAACACTGAGCATTGTTACTTAAATTAATGAAAAAAGTTTTGTCTAAGAGAAGATGTGTCAAAGCCTGTCAAAAATAAACTAAAATTCTGAATCAGCATCCATATGGCTACATTCCCTGTTACTCGTGTCAGCTGCTGTCACAAGCACTAATGTATTTCCAACCGTTCGGGTTCAGAATGCGAGAATGTATACCACATTTCATTCATTTTGTGCGGTTGAGTTTATCACCCCCTCTATTAAAGAGTTATCTACATAAAGCCCCACACAGTGCTCTACACACAGGTGGAAAGGGCAAATAAAAATGCAGCATTCAAGTTCGAAATGCCGTCTCTTTACTAGGGGAGTCAGGAAAAGAGGCTCTGAGGGGGAATAAGGCTGAATAATGAGGGACCACTCGGCTCTGGTCCCTCTCAGTTGGATCCAATCATTCGACACTTGGCAAGAGCCTTTTTTGAGCCGCCTATTTCATTGGTCTCCCGGCTGTGGTAGTCCAAGGCAATCGCTCAAAGGCTTTGGTGCAACTTTACGACTCCTCAGCCCTCCGAACGCACACACGCTCACGCACAAATGACACTGGAATTATCCTCTATAACAGCTTTACATGTTTTTAATCATCCTGCTTATCTACATTCACACAGCCCAAAAAAACACAGGAGTGAAGAGCAACATGCAGTCCTCTTTATATACACTCTGCACTTTACAGGCTTTTACCCACACCGTCTCAAACTCACATAAACACGGAGCAAATAAAAAGAAGTCATTGGGGAAAAGCTGTTGTAAAAAAAGATTTCACAGGGCCAGAAAGCTAAACCTGATCTGTCTGGCCAGAGTGTGCCTGGATGTGACGATCAGCTCATCTCACATGACTGATGTTCATCCTCCAAAGTCTCTCCTCCAACCCCTCCCTCTTATTTTTATCAGTACATTTTTTTCTTTCCTATCCGTTTATCATTTAAAAAAAAAGAAAAAAATCAGCCCCTTCCCTTCCACACTCTAAGCCTCTCCAATCTCCTTCCCAACCTCAATTTCCCACTCTCCATCCCTGCTATTAAACTGCAACACACAAGGGAATATGCGTGTGGAGTGGTGCAAACTGGTGCTCATTCCTTGAGGTGTGAGCCCGCAGGCAGGATGCTGTAAAAGCCATCATTCCCCCCTTAAACACCGGCCTCCACACATAGAATAGCCAAAAACCTACTATGCATTCTGCATGCATATGCCAAAAACAGATGCATACTGTCATTTAAGTCACCACACTGACATTACAGGCAGGGAAAAACACACACGCACAACACACATTTTGTTCGTTCATTGTATAGGTTGTAGCCGGGGCTGCAGGCGAGTCCATCCGTCCTTGAGAGTCAAAGCAAGCTCAGACTGGCCAAGCAAATAATTACCTCTTCACATCGCCACACCAGCCCCACCCAATGCATGAAAGAGGCACGTCTCGCCAGTGTGTGTGTGTGAATGAGATTGCAGCTGAATTGATCTGGAGACACAACATGCATCATCAGTTTTAACAGAAACGTATTTCACCAACTCAAAAGGTTTTTTCATGATATAGTGAAGCCAGACATATGCATGTGTTTTAAAAGAGGGAGAAAAAAAAGATAAAGCGAACAAGCCATTTCAATCGTCAAACCTGGCTTATTAAAGCTTTTTTTACACTGACCAAGCTAGCAAAAGTTTCGGGTCTTCAAATCAGTGATGAGTTCATTGGTAGTTTGGCTTTGTATTTTTTTTTTGTCTCATAGCATTTGCATTTTGGCAGCTTTTACTACAATCATTGAGGCCCACATGTTTCAAATAACACAGTGCAGAAGGCAATGCTTTACTGAGAGACCTTTTTACACTGTAGTGTGCAACACTTCAATGTTCCAAGCAAGACAAATAGTTTTCTCAATATCTCTCAGAAATTGTATGAGGCAAAAGGCATCTTAAATAAGGACATCTCCACCTTCCAACCACTTCTACAGTCACTTAAAGATACAGACACCTAAAATCACCTGTACATATCCTATGTACCTTTTCCTTTCCAATTGTTCCAATTTGTTATTTAACTGTCCTGTTGTTGTGGGATACCAGGTCAAGTTCCTGTACATTTGGCCAATAAAGCGATTTCTGATTTCTTTTCTGTTCCCTTTTCAGTTGGTTCCCTCCATTCAGTTTCTATACCTACTTATTTAAAATTTTGGGTGAAAGGGAAGGAGGCTGGAGCGCATCCAGAAGTGGTATCCACCCCTGGACAGGTTGCCTGTCAATCACGGGTTCACTGAGAGGAACAAGACAGACAACCATACACAAAAGCTGCTCATAATTTTTATGTAATCACCCAGATAGCCAAAGGACCAGTCAGCAGTGCCTGTATAGCTCTACCTTTGTCCTGCCCTTAGCAGAGGCGAGTAGACTTAACCTGATTGGTTAAAGCTGAGAATGTGGGATATTATGTCAAATGTAACTTTTAAATTCCTTGGCGTTGGACCTCTTGTTATTTGAACTAATAATTTCATAACTACAAGTAACACCATCATGCTGACAGGCACTGTTCCCTCTCAGCATGAAAAGTCCTGCTTTGAAAATCGACTGGTGCCTTTTATATCTTTAGTTTGTGTTTTTTTCTGTTCATGCAGTGGCCTCTGCGGGTGTTCCCAGACATCTTTCTGCCATGTAAAACTTGCATGCTAGCTTAATTTGTGATTCTAAATGGACCGTAAGGGGTAGTGGGAGTTTGCATGTTTGTCTCTGTGTGGGCTCTTTGATGGAAAGGCAGCCACTGGGAAAGAGTCCAGCCCTGTGATGATGAACCCTTTAACTTAGAAAAAAAGACAACAGAATATTTCTTTGCCTGTTTTTCATGTCTGATTCAACAACAACTAGAATCAGTGCTTTGTTTCACAGATAGTTCGAGTGGCACGTTATGATAAAAGTGCGAAATATGAAAAATAAAAAAATGCTTAAAGGGTTAAGAAAAACTACATTTCAAGGGTTTGGTCGTACATTAACTCTACTGTACAGTTTCAGAGAAAAATTGATGCAGAAGTTGTAGTTTTTCCTCAGAATATTCCCATCGACTGTTACTCATCCCATTTACAGTTTGTCACAGAATCTTGAGAGTCATGACTAAAACTGCTTGCAGCATGCAGAACTGGCTGATTCACTCATTTTTCCACACTTCCAGACTGGCT